TGGTACTGAACTATGTTATATCGTAAGTACACATAAAAGTTTATGGTCGACCACTGGGCGAACACTAGTATGTTTAAAAACGCAGTCGATTTTTTTTTCACCGTATCGATATTTAAACAAACAAAATTTAGATGTGATATTGAGATAAATTCAAAATATATTTTGTTGCCCTTATACGCCTTCCATAACACAAATAATTGACTTTAAGTAATTAAATAATGTTTCTAATAACAATACTTTTGTATATTTTTTACAGAGGATATTATAATTATCTATTTACGTCATTTGTATATTTTAAATGTTAAATGTGATTTAAATTACCTAATAATAAAAATGTAAATTTCAAAATTTGAAGATAAAAGATAAATATAACAAAATAGAGAGGTAAATTTATATTTTCCGGCATTTTTAAATCAATTTAAATAAATTCTCGAAAACATGTCATAAAACAACTACTCCTTTGATTATAATCAAAGAAAAACAACAGAGATAGAAAATAATTTTTAACACTCTGACTTTGATTTTGCTTACTAAGAAGAACGACATTCTTGGACTGGTTTCGTCCTTATTAGGACTCATCAGCAAGTAATAGACATTCTCAATTCCAATGTTTAATGGAACTTATAGTTACGTTTTTACTCGTACACTTGTATGATGGTCGAGTGATTGTGTGCATAAAGTAACTCCATGTATACTTAGTAAGCAAAATCAAAGCTTGAAAACAAAAGGGGATAAAAGCCAGATGGGCAATTTTAAAAAAAAATGAATTTTTTTAATTAACGTCTTGGACACATTTGAGTTAGAATTAATTTCTTATTTTAAAATTAGTCACCAATAAACATTTCTCGAGATATTATATTAAATACCTAAAATAACTTGTTTTTTACGTTTTTTTTTTTCGGTTTTTGTTTTTATGTTTTCTTATGTTTTTACGTTATAATGTTTTCTTATGTTTTTATGTTTCTTTATGTTTCTTTTATGTTTGTTTTTTATGTTTCTTTATGTTTTTTGTTTCTTTGTTTTTTTTTGTTTTTTATGAATTTTTTATGTTATCCTTTAAACCGATTAAATACAAATGGTGGGCAATTTAAAAAAAAAGGATTTTTTTTTAATTAACGTCTTGGACACATTTGAGTTAAAATTAATTTCCTATTTTAAAATTAGTCACCAATAAACATTTCTCGAGATATTATATTAAATACCTAAAATAACTTGTTTTTTACGTTTTTTTTTTCGGTTTTTGTTTTTGTTTATTATGTTTTCTTGTTTTTTATGTTTTTTGTTATTTGTTTTTTGTTTTCTTATGTTTTTTACGTTTTTTACGTTTTTTACGTTTTTACGTTTTTTACGTTTTTTACGTTTTTTACGTTTTTTACGTTTTTTACGTTTTTTACGTTTTTTACGTTTTTTACGTTTTTTACGTTTTTTACGTTTTTTACGTTTTTTACGTTTTTTACGTTTTTTACGTTTTTTACGTTTTTTACGTTTTTTACGTTTTTTACGTTTTTTACGTTTTTTACGTTTTTTACGTTTTTTACGTTTTTTACGTTTTTTACGTTTTTTACGTTTTTTACGTTTTTTTTTTTTACGTTTTTTTTTACGTTTTTTACGTTTTTTACGTTTTTTACGTTTTTTACGTTTTTTACGTTTTTTACGTTTTTTACGTTTTTTACGTTTTTTACGTTTTTTACGTTTTTTACGTTTTTTACGTTTTTTACGTTTTTTACGTTTTTTTACGTTTTTTTACGTTTTTTACGTTTTTTTAATGTTTTTTGTTTTTATGTATTTTATGTTTTTACGTTTTTTATGTGTTTATGTTTTTTTTTTTGTATTTGTTTTTGTTTTTATGTTATCCTTTAAACCAATTAAATACAAATGCAGTTTTTACAAATTTTGGTTGGACTCATCCACTTTGTTGGAATCAAAAGTGTTTTTTTGCACTTTCGTATCATTAAGGTGCGTATAAATATGGCGGCCAAGTTCTTCAGATTTGTACGGTGCTGTGTGCCTACTACGAGCCGGCCCAAGTAGAATCGAAGTAGGCCTGTTGCTTTCCATTGCGCTGTAGATCCACGATACCGTACAAGTCTGACAAAACTGGGCTCGTTTTGGCCCACAGGTACCGCTCGGGCCCGGCGCGTTATATCTATATGCAGCTTTAGTGTTACTTTATTTTTATTTATCTAAAAACATATAGTACGTATATACAGGATGTGACATTAAGGAACACAGAACAACTAGATTGAAAATAAGACGATTAAACACAACATGCTTTTCCGAAATACGGTTTATTAAAGTTGAAAAATCAAAAACTATTAATAGCTATAAGTTTTATTATTTCTTAGTATTATAATTTTGTAGTTTTGGATTTTTTTATAAATTCCCAACAAGAGTACATGATTTATTTAAAAAACATCAAAAAATTCAAAATTAAAGTCCAAATAAGTTTTAGCAGAGTGGCCTAAAATTTAAAAGCGATGAAGGTGTACGCCACTGGCAAAGTTTATTTAAATGATTTTTTAACTGATTGATGCTTCTTATACTACTACAGTTCATCAAATTTCTAGAGGTGTTCGACGCCCAGACAGAGAACGCGCTACGTGTGACTAAGATAGCTATTGTACAGTCTGTTAAACAAGTTATTTTAAATAGTTTTTAATATTTTTAGGTAATTAAATTTTAAAAGTGTGGAATAGTTTAGGGATTAAATTGGTCTGATTGGACTTTCATAGAACGTTTTTAAAAGCAGCTAAAGATAGTATGTAGAATTGAAAATAATTATTATGCCATAAAAGGTGTTTTGGAATTCCTTCAACCTTTTGAAATTGAGTCAGAAAATATAAATTTTATAGGATAGCGGAAAATACCTATAATTTTTTTGTAGGCCTTTGTAAATCGTGGAAATAGTTTATATTTTATTTCTACCTTATTAAGGAAAATGGTACCTATTATTAATAACGGTTGTTTCTGAAACATTACTAAAATTTTCGAAATTTTGTTTTTCTACAAAATAATAAACTATACTATTTAGAAAAAAATTTATTTCTCTTATAATTTTATAAAAAATAACAGGGAAATATTTACATTTCTTGATCTATTAAACAAAACGATAAATTATCTCGACGAATGACACCATGTTCTAGTACGGAAGCTAGCTTTACATTTTTGTTGGTGGTTTCATGGGTTTCATATCAATTTTTTGTAATTGTAGTTTACACGTACATATACCTCTTAACACTTGTTTGCTTTATTAAAAAAATGTGTTGTTGTGATTTACGTCGAAATACGTCAAAAACAACTTGAAACCCCATATAAAATCAACAAGGAGAAACGGAAAAAAATTGAGCCTGTAAATGAACACAACTCAGAAACAAAAATAGCTATCTAATAATAAAAAAATAAAATTTGATTCTTGTGCAGCTTCATTTATATCATTAACTGTTTTTGGTTTTTTAATGGTTTTTCTTGGTGATGAAAATTCCGATATCTCACGGTTATCGATTCTTTTTTTCTCTCCAGAAATGCGGACGACAGTGTTTTTAGATACTCCTGTGGCTGCAGCAACACGATCATTTACATTTTTAAATGGTATTGAAGGTGAATTAAAGTTTCCTTCTCTTCTCATAAACTCTAGAACATTGGCTATTATTTCGCGAGATTGACTGTTAATCACGCGGCCTCTTAATTTGCTATTAAACTCCATACTTAGGTTCTATTAAACTGTAATGAGCAAAAAACACAAACGAAAATAAAAGAAATGTTTTAGCGAAATTTACATCTGACATTTACGTCTGAATGAAATAGTGAAATACTTGATGCGCAGAGTGTACTTTCATTGCGTAAATCCGTCGGGATGCCTGTCAGTAGTGCTTTCTCTGTCTAGCCGTCGAAAGCCTCTAAAAATTTGATGAACTGTAAATATTTTACAATTTTAATTCTTGATTATTGATTTTTATAAAAAATAATTTTTTTCGTAAATTAATAAATAAATTTCCCATTCTTTGACAACTTTTTCAGATACCATCTTGTCAGTTATAATTTTTATATTAGTAACAGTAATGTTTTGTTCCTAAAAATTGGCAACACTGAAATTGTCATTCATCTGTCATGTCATGTCTTATGTCACTTGTCAATTTGAAAATGATTTGATTAATCCGTTTTTATGTTCACTTTCGCTTTTTATTCATCCATTGAAATAAATGAACAAAGAAAATAAATTCCAATTCTCAAATGTGACCAATCAAAGGAAAAAGACAATCTCATAGTTCGTGTTACAGCAAAGTCGAGCGACCGTTTCTCTCCTGAAAACAATTACTCCCTTAGCTAATACCGCAACAGGCATTGGATTATATATCAAAAAGGAAAGAGCAGAGATACTAAAATATTTTCAAAACACTAGCTTTGATTTTGTTTCCTAAGGAGAAAGTCATACTTGAACTTCATTAGAAACGAAAGTCGAGATTGTCTAATGCTTGCTAAATAGTCCTAATAAAGACGAAATAGGTCCAAGTAGGACTTTCTCATTGGGAAACTAAATCAAGCTAGAGCGTTGAAAGTGATTTTCTATCTCTGCTCTTTTCCTTTTGATATAATGCAATGCCTGTTGCGGTATTAGCCAAGGAAGTAGATGTTTTTAGGAGGGAAACGGTCACTCGTCTTTGTTGTGACACCAACTTTGAGATTTTCTCTCTTCCTTTTGATATTTAAATGAACATTATTATTAACAACTGTTTTAATCCAGCGTGTCACAAGTCATCTATGCATAGTCATACATTTACACAAGAAATTACACAATCATTTTCTGTAATTTGTCTAAAAAAAGTAAAACAAGTTAAAAGAAAGCAAAAACAGACACACTCTTTGTTGATACATTTTTGCAAATAACTTAAAAGTTATAAGTTGTTAAAATACCGGAAAATATAACAGAAATCCTGGTATAACCAAAAATATTGTATCCTCATTTTATTCTTCAATCTATTTCTAATTATTTTCTATTTTAGAATGTCAGTTTTGATGGCGATTCCACGACTCACAATACAACTGCCGAAATACGTTCTAGGACTTGGATAAAATCTGGCGATTTTGATCATAAATCAAAATAAAAATTTACGGAATGACCGTAAGAGAATGTGGGATATGGAAAAGCTTCAAATTGTTTATATGCATATTAATAGATATTGAAAAGTGAATATCCGATTAATTGCTAGATATTTCAATTTGTGTATACCTAGACATGTAACAAATTTTCAAATAATAAAAGTTAAATAGATTTGAAAAAAAAAAACGAGAAACATAAGTATATTTTACCTGGCAAATAGAAATATATTTTATTTTAGTTTTAGAATGTCATGATAATAATGTATCCAACCCTAGAATATTATTGAAAAACATTACAGGGCTGCCAAGCTATACATTTTTTTGTAAACTAACAGAATGATGCAAAACTTCAATAACATTTTCATAATGGTTCATTTTATACTTAACATTAAACTGACTCATTTTAAGTTCAATTTACTCAATTATAAATGTATCTATTTAACGATAGTAACACATTAGCTTATTATACATATACAGGGTGTCTCATTGAACCAAACAAACTTTTTTAATTCATACACAGTGTAAATTACTTTTTGAAATAAATAAAAATTCACATGATTTGCTCTAGGATCTGAAGCTGTATTCGCTAAACCGGTGAAAGTTCCTCACTGGGCTTCCAAGACGATAATAAATGGCTATCACGCACTAATGATACACTCTGTATATGTATAATAGGCTAACATGTTGGTATCGTTGAATAGTTAAATTATTAACAAATTTAATACTAAAATATTATACAAGGTGTTGCATTTGAAAAATTGGGCAAATTGAAAAAAAATGAGCTACATTTATGACACGTTTCAAAACACTTTGTGAACAAAATGAAGCATTTCTATCATCACTATTCGTTAGCTAAGGTATCTTATAAGTCTGCAGTTAAAAAAATGTAATTATTGCTAATCTACCTAAATTATGTTAATTTTATTTAAGGTCTGCATCATTTTCTAATTTCACAAAAAAATGTATTGCTTGGCCAAAATATTTAGTGGGTTGAAAACAGTATTATCAGAAATAAAATACATTTAAATAAATGAACATTAATAGAGGAAATAAATTCCAATTCTCTCAATTTAAAAAATGTTTTTTTTTTATTTGCTAGACAAATGTGTACTACTGTATAGCCAAAAATATTTTAAAAGTATGTCTTTTTCAAATCCATAAAACTTTTATCTATAACATAAAATATTGAGCAATTATGAACAATGGGACAAAAAAAAAAGATGGAACAATTATTACCTGCAAGGTAAAAATGGCAAAAAAGACTATAAGTTGAATTCGGAAATTAATAGACATTAATGGATTTTGTGAAGAACGCTGTCATCTGTCATTGCGCTTAAGTTCTGTTGACATTTCGGAGGTTACATACGGGGAAAGAAGAAATGTTTCAGTTGATGGAATATATCGGATATTGCATATGGCAACTTTGTAAGCATTCTCCACAAATTTCTGACATTATTTCTGGATTCAACTATACCTACATATAATAGTTCATATTCTAAAAATTGTTTCGGGCAGTAAATTATTACTAAGATTACGCTGGAATTGTTTAGCCATCGTGTTACTGTGTACACAATCGAATTGTTACTTTTAAAAATTTTCCTTTTTAAAATAATTTTCAAAAATCATAAACAGTTACGATTTTAAGAGTCTTTTTACTTTCTCTAGTGCCTATAGATTATGAATGTTCATTAACAGCATATTTTCGCCTCATCCTCTTCGAATATGAAATTTAAAAGAGAGAACCCATTATTGATAGGTCACGTAAGCTTACATGATTTCATTTCAGGCGTAATAGCACGTATTTACGTTTGGAATTATATGTATACAGATCAATGCAAAGCACTTTTGTGAAGTGCCTCAGTTACCAAGCACCAATCACTTTCATAAAAGTGCTTTAAGTATCAATTATTAAATACTTTCATTTTTAAAAGTACTTCAATTACCAAGTACTGGATTTGACAAATAAAGCGCTAAGCAAGTACTCATTGAAAACTATTTGAAGTCCTTTAAGGGCTTTAAGTACGTATTGAAAATTATTTAAAGCTACTAAAAGTTTTAAGACTACTTTTGAAAAACTTTGAAAATAACTACACTAATGAAGAAAACCAAAACGCTAATAAATCCAGGTTTTTTTGCATATATATTTACTCAAATCGATTATTCCGTTCCCGAATTTTTATGTAAAGACTTGTTTGTTTAGTGTCTAGTCTAGATCAATATAGGAATAGTGCTTCAAGCATTTTTGGGACTGTTTATGAATTGAAATGTAATTGAAACTTTAAAAGTGCTTCAATTACATATTTTAAAGCTCACAGTGCTTGAAGCCTTCAAAGTGCTTCAAGCACAGGTAGTAACATTTCTTATACGTCCTTCATATCATTGGAACTGGTAATCCAATGAAACCTTTAGAGTTTTCTTAACACCAAGATATCCTCTTGATGGACTGTCGCGTAATTAAAGAAAAAATTCGGCTCTAGTCTTTCGAACGTCTTCTGTTTTCAAAACAAACATCATTTTCGAGTACTAGATTTAATCATACTTCTTCTAGGATAAAATAGTCCTACTGATACCAAATACGACTTAACTAATGGATATAGTTTTGATATTTCTTGCCGAGTAGGTCGACGACAGGTTCGTTCTCTTGTTTTTCTTTAATTTTCGTAGGTGCCCACTCATTGTTAACTACCATTGTACTTCGTCGCAACTTGTTCAGCAGATGTGATCAACCCCTTTCTCATCAGGTTTCGTCGACCAACCCCTTCATCTTAGAAGGGTTTCGGAGGTTGATTATTCTACCGAATATTCTTAGTATTCGGAAAAGTATAAGGTCATAAGAGATCCAAATAAGACAGAGGGGGACTTAAGGGATTAGAACAGGAACGGATTGGTCGAAAATGGCATGCAGAAAATAATGAATTTTGATCAACGTCGCCGGTCCATAGTATTAAAAAAACTAGAAACAAGAATATTGACGATTATTTCAAGAACTACACGCACATCCAAGATTTCATATTATTTAGATATTTCAGCATAAGCGCAGAAAAGTTCGAGTATTTTCATAGCCTTATTGAAACTGTCAAAGAAACAAAATACACAGTTTCAAATGGAGAAAAATTATTATCCTTGTGTTTAAATGCATTTTTACTTTTTCTGTTAGTAATTCTTCATTCATTTCAATAATTTGCAATAGCAGGTGTTCCGAAAAATGTGAACTGCCGTGAAATCAAGACGTGAACATGAAACGATTACAACGTAATATGTGTAACATATATTAAGTGAAAACAGTCCGATACATTCAATTCAATGGTGGTACAATGGGCAATGTTACAAATCTTGCATGATATCATATGAGCTTACGTGATAATAATATGCCCCAACTATGTAGACGTGAGGTGATCAAGCAAAGTGAATAAAGCTCGCTATTCGTATATTTTTACAATTTATTTCTAGACAATTTCAACATGGTCTTCGTACTATTTGTATCTAAACAACATTTTTATACGTCTTTTAAATATTGTTATAGTTATCATGTGAGGCATTGGGGCTTGTTTTTCGGTCTTTGAAGGGTTTAAACATCATTTTTCAATACCTATTATCTTAATATATTTGAGATTTTGTGTATAAAAATCGTTCTCCGGTTACTGCAGAATAAAATTGTTCTCAATAGAGAAAGAATACACTTTTAGGATTCAATAATTATACTTTTATTGAATATATGATATAAACTATAGTATTATTAAAAAAAAATAGATAATTGGATAATAAATGGTCAGGTATATCATAAGAGCTCGTTTGTACAAATTTTTCCTTAGAAAATGTTCAAAACTTCATTATTCGTGCTTTTGGGGAATTATTAATTGAGAAAACATAGCTAGAGCTACGATTTTTTTCAAGTATCTAATTAAAAGAATATTTCCCATATTAATATCTGATTTTTTTAATTTCTCATTCTTTACAAATATTACCTAATTATATTTACATATCAGTATCTTTTTTCTATCTTTTAAATTTTTTTCTGTAGTACCAACTTACTAATGTAAATAAAGAAGGCTGTGTATTTTTGATATGATCAAAATACCAACATGTTTAATTTTTTTGTATTAAAATAAGGGAATATTTATTTTTTACGAATAAGGTAATAATTATAGGCTAGTGACTAGCGTGTTATTGATTATCCAAATTTTTTACCTCAAATATACCTATTTCGGTGCTTTGTAGAATACTTTAGGAATACGAATTATAATTTATTTTAAATAATATGAATCGTGTACATATTGGTATAAATATAAAATATTTAAAAGTAATCGTTATTTTATTGATGAAACCTTCTTCATTCCTGAATTCATTTTTACACAGGACCTGCCTGCACTTAATAAGAGAACAAAAAAATATTAATCTACTACTGTACAAAATTTTTTTAAGTTATGATCCGATTTATAGGTTGTTTCCTTAACAATGTCATAATTTTTGCTGTTTATGATGAAAGTTCCTTTTCGATTTATATGGTTTATATGGGGTGTAATAAAAATGTAATTTTTTTTTTCGAAAATTCGTATCACCCTGTGGAGTATACTAGCAACCGAAACATATAGCAGTTGACATTAGACGGTAGGTCCAACTTTCGCCAACATTTCTTTTTTTTGTTTATTTCATTATCTCTGTTATTAAAGGAGATACGCCATTTTATAGCGTAACATGTTTTAATAGACTTTATTATTCAAAACATTCATTGTTAATGTTTTCAAGAAGGCTATAGGACCTTCTCTGGCATTTCAAGCGATGTGTCAATATCGAATACATTATTTGTTATCTGTATAGATTGCTTTATTTGTAAATTAAACAACCTATAAGATGTTTAATTCTTTTTATTTCCAATTGACATTGAACGTATATATAAATTCCAAAAACCTGTCTACTTGACAACGCTAAACTCTAACTATCTATCACTAAGAACTAAGGTATATCCTCCAAGA